GACATAATACCATTCAAGCACTTTCCCCGCTCTACCCTCGGAGCGTTTTAATTTTAAATGTCAATATCCCTAAATATAGTTTCGATATTACATGGCCATATCATGTATAAACTGAACCTATAATACATTTTATGGTACTTAAATCGTGTTTTATGAATTTTATGTTCGCAATACTTCATAAATTATTATGTTTTACATTATATAATCAAATATCATTTTAAATATTAAAGGTTTGTGAAATTTATGAAGTTGAATGATCTTGTAAGTTTTAACTTACAAGGTTAAATGAATCACTCTGTATATATAATTTATTAGTTATTACCGTGGCGGTGTAAATAGTCTCGGGTCTATCGTAGAACTCGTAGTTCCTACTACCGCTTTGACGTTTGTCGAATCAAATAACGATAAATCTTTTAGATACCCGTTAGGTTAGTTGATTCACACCACGGGTTACTAGCTTTGGCTAATGTTTTTTTGATAAATCACATGAGACACACCAATGAGGTAAATGGTATTTCAATATTTTACGAGTGGTCAAGTATTAAAGTACGATTTACCAATAATCGTTCCTATAAATTCTACACTGGTAATACTTATTTGTATACAAATAATAAATATTTACGTTGGAGGTGTTAATTAAACTATTAATCCATGCGTTTGGTGTGAAACAATAATCAATTATTAATTTAATTTCTAAATTGTCAAATACATCAAAATTTATCTGTATTTACCTAACCTGTCTTAAGAACAATTAATATTGTTCTATAAGCATTGTATAGGATTTACTAATGACAATAATAATTAATACACAAGATAATATATTATTATATGTTTATTAAATAATATAACTGTATTATTAGTTATAGAAAGTTTCGCATTTTTAATTATAGGAATATTCAAATATGCACTTAAATTTAATAAAATAAGTTCTTGAATATTTTTTAACGCTGTAAAAATATTCTTTGAGTAAATAATGATGGTTAGTGGAAAAAATAATAATGACTTCCCAAAATGTTTGATTGTATCAACCTAAGTCTTCAAAAGTTATATTAATAAAGTATAAAATAAAAGTTTTTGGAGAAAACATCAAAAATGTGGAAAGTCGTTTTCAAGTAATCCTTACTCTTTATGACAAATTTAAATCTGTTGTCGGAATTCTTATCGTTTCAGTAGATTAATCCGGTACATTGGAATTATAATACATATATATATTTTACACTTTTCAATTATTCGTATATGTATATAAGATCAATGGTGCGCAGCATACTTTTTATCACAATAACCAACATTTCAGAATAAATATTTCACAACCCTCAGAATCTGCACCAGTGTACCATTATAATAGAAAAAGATAAAAAATTAACTTTTTCAATTTTCTAAACATAAATATTGTCATATTTACATTAAGCATTGTGTTAACCAAAATCTAAAATAGAATTCGACATTTTAAACAAAAAAAAAATAACAGTGTTAACTTTTCGATAGTTGAAAATAAAATAATATTATTGTTTGTGGATCACTTAACATTAAACATAATTGTTTTTTACTCTTGAAAATTCAACAATCTTATTATTTATTTCCATAAAATTTTTATCAATGTTTATATAATACATTTTAACATACATTAAATAGGTAAATCAATTTTATTTTAAATATCCAAATATATGTAAAAACTTTAAAATACACAAAACACAATTACATTTTTTATTATTTATGTTGATACTTCGTTATAAATCACTGAATCTCCCTATTAAAAAAACCAGATGGTAGCTACTTCTGATATCGAAAAAGCTAAACTTTTTATAATTCATCTTTCACATACATTCCAACTACACTCTGATACAAGAAACAACAACAATGTGAATACAGTCAAAACGTTCTTTCACTTCCCTTTTCTCTTCTTGTCAAATAATTTACACAAAATTGTATAAAATATACCATACAAAAATATTCAATAAATAAATCACCAAGCAATGTTTTATAAAAAAAGCTATCGCCCACATCATTCACATATATAATTCAACACTTAGGTTTTCATATTACCCTCTTCTTTGGGAATTATTATCTGTAACTTTTTACCTCAAACCAAATAAATCTTCTGATTTGATATACCATCATCTCACTGACGAATCAGCCTTCTCTCATTTTCACCAAAATACTTGAACGATTAATTCTTAAACGCATTTTACCCATCATTATAGCAAAAAATATTCTTCAAAATATTCAATTTGGCTTTCGTGCGTCTCACGCTCAACCATACATCAAGTCCACAGAGTCGTAAATGCTATTTCGTATTCGCTAAAAAAAAAAACGTATTGCACTTGTGCATTCTTAGACATCTCGTAAGCTTTTGATCGTGTATATGGCATGACAGCCTATTATAAAAATTTAAAAAGTTTTTCCTCCTACCTATTTTACTAACTTATCAAATCATATCTAACAGGTCATAATTTTCAAATTCTCCACACTCGTCGCGTCAACAAAATCTGCAAACTCACTTTAACGCTATGGAAAAATGGTTAACCAAATAACGGTTTTAAGTTAACCAAAATAAATCTAATTATACTACCTATACTCTCAGAAATGCCCTCTGTCCAAATTTTTTTCTATATGGAATATATAATCCCTTCTCTCCAAAAATTAAATATCTCGACCTTACTCTGGATCAAAGAATAACATGGGTTCATCACATAAGAACTAAAAGATTAGCATTGAATAATCGTCTTAGCATGCTCAAAACCTTATTATGCAATAATAAATACACCTACATTGACTACACTGAAATTAAACTACTTATGTACAAAACACTATTGAAACCAATTTGGACTTACGGAGTACGGATTTCAGCTTTGAGGCAATGCAAAAAAACTAATATCAAAAAAATTCAAACCATAAATGATTAAGCAAAAGTATTTTATAAAAGATTCATAACCGATTAAATAATCATCCAAATCAACTAATTAAAAATTTGGTAACTCCAATGATACTTGACAATCTTCCGAGACGCCTAAAACTTAAACGGTGTCGTGATTTACTAATTTAAATTATTAACAACAGAAAGTGTCATCAATGAATGATTAATTTTTCCACCATTTTCATGACTAGGTAGTAATTATAACTTTTATGGCATATTCTTGTTGTGTCTATTGATACAGATTATTTGAAACCTGTATAAATAAAAAATATATTTATTAATGTTATTTACGCAATTTAGGTACGAAATATAATTCACAATATTATTGATAGAATAACTTAAAAATTGTGATGTATAAATTTGCATATTTTGGGATTTTAATGTCATATTCTGATGTTTTAAATGTTTTAAAGCATAATTCATACTTAAGTAGTTGAAAATCACATAGGTATTTACGGAAATATTTTTACAAACAAAAGTCAAAAACAATCAGGTTCAATTTATTGCGAATATATCGTAGTCGTTAAAGATCAAATCCTTATAATCAATATAACATTTAGATTATAGCAAACTATACAGAGTGTATATAGTGAAATATAAATTATATCTACTAATTTGTTGCAGATATTATTAATGATTTACTACCATGGTAATAAATAATAACTAGGTAATAATCATGTTAAATTTATAAATATTATGGGGAAGCGAGTTTCCACGAGGAAAGCTAGCACTCTACTCGTAGTGACTAATGACGTCTAATAATGTGCATAGAATGTATTATTGAAATTAAACTAACGATTTTTGATAATTTAATTATAATTATATCTAATTAATAAATATTAAAATATCTATAAAACACTGTCATTGGTAGACTGTAAGTTATGGTATATGACTTATAAGTAATCCAATAGTTTTGAAGATTTATACCACACGTCCACATAACACAATATAGATAACAAATGCCATTAGACATTAATTCATTTGTTTTATTTAAAATACGTTATTTATATTAGAGTTAAATCATTAGTTATTGGCGTTATTGCATATTTTATTTTAATTGATATGAGCAGTTATTACTTCATTAAATAACAAAATATCCTGTATCAAAGTTTTAAAATAAGATATATTTACAACAAATTAACTGTAATTGTTATTTATAAGTCAATAGGTGATAGGTCATCATTTATAAAATATCGCGTAATCGTGCATTCGTGTCAATATACATTTTTCAATAGGTATTCGTATATTAAATAATAAAGCTGATATTATGTTAATATTACATTAATATTAAATTAAATATGAATGCTAACATTTATATTTTTGATCTACCATACAATTTTGTTTTAGAACTAAAACAAATATCATTTTCTTCTACATTACAGATTAGCAGACCAATGTCCTATCAGTTTAATACAATGTTCATTTATAATCTAAACCAACTAAATGTTTGATTCTTGGTGTGCTTTAAAATATTGTAATGTGAACATATTAAATCGTTATTCAATGATAACATTTAGGTTCTATTACTAACGCATATAGCTATATAGGTATAAATGGTATAAGACTCCTATATATTATATACAACACATATTGTATTTTAATCGCACCATTGCATCAGAATAAATATTATTAAACCATTTGTTATTTTGCCAATAGTTTATGTTAATGAATGCGCGTATTATCCCAATGGGTTGTATTAAGTACTCCAATTGTCCCTTTTCAGTTTATTCCTTTTCTTTTTCGCCGTTTTCTCGGTACGCGGTCTACAAGTCTGTAATAACAACAACAATAACAACAACAACGATAACGGCGCGAGATCCCGAGGGGTTTGGATCGACGAGAGAGTGGGGATAAGGTCAAGATCGACCACCGTGCACAATATTGACAAATAAATATTACAAACCGATGAGAATCCCGGGTGGTGAGAGCCGCCGAAACGGAAGAAATGAAAAGAAAAAAAATGATCTACGCGGAGTGAAAAGAAACGGAGAAAAAAACGTGTACACACATAATCGAAATATTTTTAATCGAAAAATAGTGGGGAACGGTAGCCTGCGGTCGCGATACGCACAGACGTCCACAGTGCGACGTTCTCGGTTGTCCGAACACTTACTTGCACCGCCCGTTCGTGTACATCATAATATTGTTATTACACCGATCATTTGAAAAACAAAATAAATCGTTGCGACCGTGAATATCTTGTTTCTGAAAATATTCCGCGCCGACATCATCAATCACATTAAACAGAAATAATCGTTTATTTTATGTATAAATGTATATATAAATTGTTATGAGTTATTGAAATAGGTACATAAATTATTATTTATCGACTATTAGTAAACCGACATGTCGGTTTGTCGTCGATGTACCTAGCGGTTATCATCAATTACTTCGTTGTTGCGAGTGTTGTTTTAGCCAAAAAAATCTCGCAGAACATTTTTTTCGCTGCGTCTCCGTCACGCGTGTGTAGTGGTGCATCGTTGTTCCCGTCCGTTTCGCGTGAATTATAATAATAATAATATTGTTGTTTCGTTTTATTCTGTTTATATATTATTTTATATATATTTTTTTCGACGTCTATTGCGCGTGCGTGCGTTCGATTGTTGTGTTTGTGCGTGGTGCATGTGAGTGTACCGCAACCACCGCCACTACCACCGACGAGAAAGAGGAGGAAGACTTCGACAGTGCACTGGTAAATTTAGGAAGATAAAAAAAAAAAATAATTGTAAAATATTTGTTTTGTTATAAGTTATAACAAGTGGTGGTCCCGTTCGGTTTTTTTTAAGAGGAAAACACGACCGGTGTAGCCGTGTAAACCGTAAAATGTAATAACCTAACCAACCGCATCAACCGTGTACACAATCCGCGTCTTGTTGACGATCATCACGCGGTGTAAAAATCCGACGACTCCGAACTCGCGTGATGTGTTTGTGTGTGTGCATGTATGCGCGCGCGCGCGCTCGTAGTGTGATATCCGGAGCAGACGACTCGTAGTCGTGGTCCAAGGCAACCCATCTTATACCGCGTTCAAGGACGCGGTTTTCAAGGTCAAGTTTTCTCCCCAATTGAAAAACCGTCACCACGTTATTGTCTATACATTATTCTATATAAATTATATAATATTTTGGAATAATCGTCATCAACAGCAGCATTGTCATCCTCTTCGCGATATCATCACAATTATTTTTATTTACGTTTTCATTCCGTTCTTATCTGACCGTCATTGCCTACGACTCGCGTACGCAACGCCCCGCGGCTGTCTTAGTCTGTGCAGCCCACAGATATACACTAATACTAGATAGCCGTCTTCTTGTTATCAGTGAAACACGCCGCCATATGCAAAGAATACTCTCGGTAAACAAACGTTATCACTTAGTAAACAACAACAATAATATTATGATATTCTGTTCAGTCGTTCAGTATTCTAGTTGAATAATAAATTACTTATCGTTGGTAAATAGTAGTGCCTACCTACTTATATTTGTATTACCTACTGTTTAATAATTGTTATTTTTGTTAATAATATAAGTAATTATAATAAGGTAGTAACTGTAATTTATATCCTAGTATTTTTGACAATGTTTCCTTATTTCATATTTCATAATTCATAAAACATTACAATTTAGTTATATCCCAAATTTACGTAGATTAGTATAAATACATACTGTATAGGTTAATTAACAGTTTTGTCTAATACTATAAAACAGAGAACTGAAAAAGTGAGAAATAATAAAATATAGGTAAGTACTAAGTAATACAATGATATAAATAAATGTCTATAATATAATAATATGTATTATACTGATAAAAGTCTAATATTGATAACGTTTGTTTACCGAGTTGTATTCTTTGCATATGGCGTCGGTTTCAATTATTTTGCGGCGGTGTATACGAAGACGATTATCTAGTATTAGTATATATCTGTGGTGCAGCCGCTCTGATCCGCGACCGGACAAATGTTGGCACACTATAATATTGTTATAAACACCAACAACCTACAACAAGTGCTGTACCTACATAACATTTGTGCATTACGACTTTGGCTAGTAACTACGTGCGTTTGAGGTCCACTGTGGTTTTATTTCTTTTTAATGAGACCAGCTGATAAAGAACGATTAGCGTTGTTCGCCGATAATACGATTGATAATAACGCTAGTTTTTGTGCCTGTTAGAGTGTTAGGTATTACTGCTGCAGTCGTTATTCGTTACGATCGGTTACGTTAATTGTATGCCCGTTGAACAGAAGTTTTAAATTATAGTAATTATTCTGCCAGTGTCTTATTAGAAGTGTATTAATCAATATTAAGAAACACATTAAGTGTTATTTTCATAATAGTTTTTTCTAGCTCTACGAAAAAGTATTAAATCGTGGAAAAATAATACCAAGTGAAGTCTCATTTTCTAGTGTTCGATTTAATTACGAAATATCTTGATAATAATTTATTGATATACGAGAATAAAATTACGTAAAATTAATTTTGTACAATTTCATTGTTTCATCAGTCGTCAAAAGAAATATTTACGGTGAAAATCCCAGTATGTTTTTAACCACTAGAAGAATTTATTAACATGAACAGGTTGGTAGTAGATCTTGTTTTTATAAGTTGTAGATTTGAGACAAATGTTTTCGTGATCCTAAAAAATAAAAACATTAATTTTGGCGATATTTATTATGATAACTAATATGTACTTGTATGTATTTAGAATCTAACGATTTTTTATCGAATGTCAATGTCATGTACGCTAAAAATAATGCCTTGAATAAAAAATAGTCACGTTGTTACAGCTTTATGTTATATTAATAATTCAATAGGTAATTAAGTTTCATTAATTTTTTTACGTGAAGTTTAAATTTGTTATCCGACTATAAATTTGAGCTTATGTCCAATATTTATTTTGGACTTAAGGAAAAGTGATAATTGGTTAAAACAATAGAAATATGAAATCGTATCTCTACATTTCTACTTACTGTTCATGTCATAAAGATGTACTATAGAAAAGACTTGTTTATATTATTTATTCCCCACACCAATATAATATATATATAATATACTAAGGGTTGTTTTTCTAGAAAATCAGACATCAAAAATCCTACGTATTATATTCATTAGAAATTAATTTTTATTCTAACTTCTAACCCTAAGGGAAAGAACAAATGGGATCTTAAATAACATTTTTAAGGGTTAAATGCAGAGGTTTAATTTTTTTACAATTATGTGACAAAATAAATGTTTTATATTAAGATCCATTTCAGCAGTTAATCTGCGCATCCTTGAAATAATACCTAATAACAAAATCGACATTTTCATTTAAATACTTGTTTCGTGGTAATTATAATATAAGTATCTCCTGTTAAAAACAACATTAATTAATCTATAAGGCTATAACAGTATAACCCGTTTGCAACCGACCTTTCCTGTGTCAATCAGATGGTAGAAAATTAAAAATTAAATTTTTCATATTGAGAACTCGATATAAAAAAGTATTGCTCAAAAAAACACGACTACTATTGCGTACCGTATATTATAGTGAATGTACATTTTGCGATGACGTGTGTTTGAGACCCGAAATCATGCCATTGGAGGAGACGCAAACGAGAAGAAACCGGGACGACAAATAATAATAATATTTACGACGCAGTTTATTATTATTGTTGTTATTGTTGAGCATCGCTGCGGTTCAAAATTCTAGTAATCCGACACCCTCCTAAATGTAATATGTAAGAATAAGAAGGTTTAAAGGTGTGTTCACTACGATCGTGGCAGTAGCGGTGTATAACCTGCCTATCTCACACCAAAATTTCGTATCACGAAAATGTTTCCTATCGACATACGATACCAATGACCGATGATATTCTATAAATTTGTATTGTTTTTCGAACGCGGTAACCCATTTTCACATTTGGCTTGTATCAATTTAAAAAAATGAACCAACAAACAAACAAATCCATCAGCCGTAAACCAATTATCGCTTAACCTAGTCGTTAAAGCAAGATATTATGTTTCGGTACTATTATACCGCTATGCCGATGATTTTTATATTTCGTTAATTTTATATTTTTTCACAATAATTATCATATAATTGTTACGGTTAAAATATACTATTAAAAAAAATAATAATAAACAATGATTACAGAATATAGTAACAATGAATATTACCTATATATTCGAATTTTTTGCGTTTTAGTCAACAAAAATGAAAGATTATGTTCCATTTTTGTGTTAGTGTGAGCATCATAAAACACGAATGCTGCGTCGTACAACTTGTACTCTTATAAGTAAAGGTGTTTGGGATCGTCGTCATCGTTGGTTAATATCTGTAGTTAATACTCATGATTTAGAAATGTCACACCCGTATATTTTGTGTCTACGACTTATTTTTGTAATAAATATTTTAATATTTTCAATTTGCTTTAGGTTGGCTAAAATAACGTTCATTCATAACCCGTGTATCGTGACTAATATATTGTTAATACTACTTAGATTATTTAATTGGCATGAGGAATAATATTTAAATTTTATTTTATCTATATATTTACAACATTATCTAAATAATATTTAATACTAATTATTAATGTTTCGTTAGGAAACTATGTAATATATTTATCCTTCATAATACAAATAATATTTAAATAAATTTCTTATGGCCGTTCAGATAAATATTTTTTTGAATTTAAATATTTAATACTTGATGCTTATGTGTTATGTGTTATTTCCACGCCACTAACCTGTATACAATTTATCGCCTTACCACAAACTCACCTTATGTGACTTATAGTCTACAATTTTAAAATTCATGATCGATAATATATCTGTATCTCTATGATATACATGTAAATTAGTGTAATATGTAATTTTTTTTTTTATGAAAAAAGTGTATATTAAATAAATTTTAAATTATAATATTAATTTACTACCTATATTTTAACAGTGTTTACATTTTGTTAGCTTGTCGGTTTGTCAATGTATTGTATAGTAATTTAAAATGCATACTTATCTTACAAAAATTATTAAATTATTTTAAAATGTTGTTAAAAATTAATTTAAATGATTTATTTTTCACGGTATTTAATTCTAGCATTCAATTTTTAAAGTGAAAATTTTCATATTATAAAATATGTGACATTTAAGAATCTTTACAAAACTATCTTACATTTATAAGTGTATTTTATACACTATAAAATATTAATTATTATCTATTATGCTACTATTAATAATAAATTATTTATTATTATTTATCATTTTTTAAGTTTTGTAACGATATATAAAATTTACGAGAAAATGTATGTCTGTACAACGAACGGTCACCCGGTGCCCGGTGGTGGGATGATTGATTTTATGACTAATCTAATACAGTGCAACAATAAACAAATCCAAATATTTTAATCAGAAACGAAAATTAATAGTTATCTGATTCCATAAAAGTAGTAAATTTAATAGTAGTTTTTAATTTTTTAAGTAATTATGCCAAGTAAAAGAAGTTAATAAAATATGTACTATTCTTCCGATTATACATTTTTATACTCGATAGAATTTATACTCTGGTGTATCGTGGTCATAAGTAGAAATAAACGCTGTCTTTAAACTAAGCGATTTCAATGAGTCATGAAGGATGGGGTTGTGGGAAAAACTGATTGGGAAATGGCATTAATTATAGTTCTAAAGATTCATCTTATTTTTGTATTTCTAAAGT